GTAAAGGTCCCCCACTTGTGTCTCAGCTATTCTACCTTCTTTATGTCTGTGGAGACTTTCAGAGAATACACTCTTTCAGTCCTACTTTCTGTGTTTCTCATTGGATAAATTTCTATGACTAATAATTCTTCTGTACAATCAAGTAAGACTTTCTTGTTGAAGAAAATCTGGAAAATACAGAAAAACATATAGAAGCATGAGAAAACTCACTCAGCCTCAAAGAACAACTGCACCAGGAAAGGGACAGAGACAGGAAAGTATTAAAGACTGCAGGAGAAGCTTCAACTCAACCCCTCAGACTGGACAGCGGGATTCTCCCACTGCAGGGTGAGCCAGTGGCAAAGTGCGACAGGAAGAGCAGGTCCATGCGCCTTCATCCGGGTCACCTCCCTTGTCCTATCAAATGTGGCCAGGGTGCCAGCTCTTCCGTGTTCACGTCTCAGAGGGTGACTCCCGGGTCTTTCCTGGGTCCGGAAGCTTGCAAGAGGCTGGGAGAAGGTAACTATCTCTACGGGACAGAGGCAGAATTCACACTGAAAGGTTTCCTGGAGTCAGTGCTGTAGGAAAAGCAATGCGGCAGCCAAGCGTTAGGCAGAAGCCAGTCTCAAGTTCAGCGGCACTGAGGGATCCTTCAGACTCTTCGGGTGTTAGTCCTTCCTCATGAAATTACTCTTCATTTGGCACATGTTTCTCTCTCTTTTATATGTTTCGCCTTTATTGAGTCTTGCACTGTAAACATAATTGCATCTTAGTTTTAAAAATGGTCTTTTAATAACCTTTCCCATGATTGATAAAATAGCACATACATCATAATGTGCTTCTAAAAACAGAGTTAACACATGCAGAGCGCTTAGAACAGAGACTGCCATGTGTTAAGTGCCTTGTAACAACTAAGGCATGTTACAGATGGCTCACTCAGAAAAGAAAATACAGGGAAGCCACCACAAATATCTTAAAGTATTTGAAGGGCTGCTCTGTCAAACAGGAAGCACAGGACACATTCCAGGGAGCTCTGCGAACGATGGACACAAGTCACAGTGGGTAGGAAGAAGTGAGAAGTTATGAATAGATCATTATTTGGTATTTTTAAGTAGATCTAGATGCACTTCTTTAAGCATCCTGTGTTCATTTTGAATGGTGACCTTTTCCAGTTAACAGCTGTAGTGTTAATCGCCGTGTAACAGTCTCCCAGGGACACTGAGCACCCCCTTGCTCAGGCTGTCCATTGTAGAGGCTTGTGCGGGTCTTCATAGAGGCAAGTAGGAGCTCCAGGAAGCCACAGCATGAGCTCCCCACTGCAGGGAGATTAGCTTACTGCACCTGATACACTGTTAGCTGCTGGCTGAAAAGGTATCTCATGCTTTGCTGGCTTTCTTTCCGGGTCGCAACTCCCTCCTCAGGTCCTGCTGTGTTGCTGCTCTTGCTACTTTCCTTTCTTGTGGGGCAGGAGGGAAGGGAGGCTGGGCTGGCACAAACAGGAGGCTGTGGGTACCGACCACAGTGCTTGCCAGGAGCCCTTCATCTCTGCTCCAGCAAGCTCTTGTCTTCTGCTGCTAACCATACAATAGTAACAAGCTAACCTACCAACTTGTAAGTGGCAGAAAGACCCAGAATCCTCCCAGTTCTGGACATAGACAAATCAATGTGAGGGTGTTGATTGCAGTACTTTTACAGGTGGGCTTTACTGAATGGTTGTATAACTACCAAAGTGACAGAAACAGGTGAGAAACTGTATTTTTTCTGATTTGAAAACATTAAGTGTTAAATGTGATATTGAACATTGAAAAATATGCCCACTATAATTATATAATGGCACACCACTTCTTATTAATATATGTGCACTATCCCCTCACCCACTTGTATGTATCTTCATTGACTAGGATACTAAAAATACACATTTTTAAGAATGCCGAGGAAGTAAAACTGACCTCACATTTCTGTAAACTTAGCACTTCCTGCCTTTCCATCAAGCTCGGTCCTGATTGTGTGGGGAAAGACAGGTGTTTCTTTTTTCTAAATTGTCGTGAGACATTTAGACCACAATGTGGTAAAATAATGGGCTTGATTCATATATAGCATCATAAACAAAAGATCCCACACATTGGGGCTGTGGTTATAGCTCAGTGGCACAAGGGCCTGCCTGGCAAGCGGCAGGTCCTGAGTTTGATTGTTAGTACAAAAAAAGAAACAAACAAACAAAGGAAGGAAGGAAGAAAACACAGAAAAAGAAAGAAAGAGAGAGAGAGAAAGAAAGAAAGAAAGAAAGAAAGAAAGAAAGAAAGAAAGAAAGAAAGAAAGAAAGAAAGAAAGAAAAAGAAAAGAAAGAAAGA